CTGCCACACCCAGCGGCGGGGCCCCCGGCGCCCGTACGAACTCAGAGAGGGCCCCTGAGAGGGGGGCCCCCACGAAAAGAAAGAAGAAGAAAAGAAGTGGCGAGGCCTTTTGGCTGAGCCCCGCCATCGCCAGGGACCTGTACAGACAGCCGACTGGGGGCCACTGGCATCAGGGAAGGTCGGGGGGGATTTTAAAAGCAGCAAAAACAAAAAAAGAAATTCGAAGAAGACAAAGACATTTCGGCGGCGGGGGCCCATGGAGTGGCTGGGGCCCTCAGCAGCAGCAGCAGCAGCAGCAGGAGGGTTGGCCGCGAGACTGGGCTTTAAACGCTGTTAAAACGTCATTTATTGATTTGCTGCTGCTGCTGCTGCTGCTGCTGCGCTGCTGCTGCTGCTCGCGGCCGCGAGCCGCAGCCACGCAGCCCGGGGCTGGTGAGACTGCGTGGATAGCAGGGCGCTGCAGCAGCAGCAGCAAATTAGACAGCAGCAGCAGCAAATTTTTGTTTTTAACTTCATTTTTATTATTTAATTAATTTATTTTATTTTCAAACTCCAAAGACTTCACCAAAAGACACTTCGCCCCATCTCAAAATCCCACTAAGACAAACTCGCCCGCCAGTCGCGACACCCGAGCCCGGACATGCATTTCGAAATTAATTTTTATTTTTAAAATCCAAAACTTTAAATCAATTCCATTTTTAAATTGTTTCGCTGCTGCTGCTGCTCGTGGTGCTGCTGCTGCTGCTGTTGCTGCTGCTGCTGCTGCGCGGCGCCTCGTTGAGGTGTATGTACAGCTGCTGTGGTGTCTGCGGCGCTCTTCCCGTCCAGCTTTTTTGCAGGTCTTTTCTTTTCTCGCAATTCTTTTTTAATAATAATATTTTAATTATTTGAAAGTATTTTTTTAAATGATTAAAAACATTTATTTCTCTCGAGGCCCCAACAAGTTTTAAAAATGAAGTGGGGCCCCCCAGCTTGAGGGGCCCCTCTAGACCTCCTGGGGCACTTTAGCAGTGACCCGGGAAGCTGCAGCAGAGCAGCGCCCTTGCTGCAGCAGCAGCAGCAACCGCACAGCAGCAGCAGCAGCAGCTGCTGCTGCTGCTGCCGCTGCTGCTGCGGCTGCTTATTCCCGCTGTGGCGCTGGTGCCGCGGCCGAAAACCTCTGGCACTTCAAGTTTGGTCTTGAGGCACCTAAAAGCTCTTATGCAGCACAAAAATATAAACAGAAATATAAATATAAATATAGATATAGATATAAATATAAATATAAATATATATATAGATATAAATATAAATATAAACATATATATAGATGTATTTATATATAGCATGGCCACATAAGAATGAGCATGTAGGCGAATATAAATGCAAAGTTTTCAACTAAATGGAACTCTAAAATACTTTTTTGCTGCAAAAGAACTTCGCAGCAAAACTATTTAAAGGAGGAGAGGCAGGGGGTCCGAATGAGGGCCCTGCGAGTGCAGCAAATTGCTGCAGCAAATTGCTGCAGCAACTTGCTGCTGCTTCCCGCGTGCTTTGCTGCTGCTTCCCGGGCTATTTATAAGGCCCAAAGGCTGAAAGGGGAAGCCCTAGAAAGCGGCGAAGCTGCGGAGTTGAGGTCTCGGAGAGAATTCTGAATTTTGCACTATTGATTCAAGACGTGCAGCTGTGCCTTTGTGTGTCTCGGGTGTATAGACAGCCATTGAGAGTGCCAAAAAGGGAAATAATATTCTAAATGAGGCATTTAGAAGCCACGCGGTCTCTTGCAGAAAATAAAAACTGTTTTAACTGCCAGGGGGAGAGGTGAGACGTCGTGCAGCCCACTGAAGTGGGGTGTATCGCCACCTCAAGGTGTAACAGGGGTAAAAAGCGAAGAAAAAGTATTCCTATTTGCTTCATATTTGTTTTTTTGGGAAAATTTGTAGTGAAGTACTTAATAGTTCAAATCTTTCCGAGTTTTGCAGAAGTTCTGTCCGCCTGGCGGAGCTATGCACGGCGCACGGAGGTGTACGTACACCTGAACGGACCGGGAAATACGGACTTGAGCGTCCAGACGAGAATTTGAAAGTTCATTTATATTTAAAAAGAGATATATATTTAATTTTAATTTTGTGGGAGCTCTGGAGCCCCAGTGGCGCGTGGGCCAGAGCAGTCGATGCAGCGGAGCAGCCGGGTGTCCAAGTCCGCGGCTTCCGGCGCGATCTTCCGTGGAAAGCTGCAGTTTTTCGGGATTTTTTGGATTATTTCGGATTATTTTGCATTTATTTTGCATTTATTTTGCAAATTGCATTCGAAAATGGACGCAGAAAGCTATTTGAACCGGCTTTCCGACAGCCACTTGAAGGCGCAGGCCCGCGCCTGGCTGGCCACAGACCGAAACCCCCAAACCCTAGCCCAGGCCCAGCAGCTTCTCCGGGAGGCCCCTGAAGAAGAGCTGAAGGAAATCTTCTGCAAACATTTGGTCTTCGGAACTGTAAGTTGGGGCCCCTTGGGAGCCCCCTGGGGGCCCCTCGGGGGCCCCCAGGACCCGGGGGGGCCCCCAGATGTGTGCAGAATGCAAATTTGTAAATCTTTTGAAGAAAGAAAAAACGCAGCTGCTGCTCTCCGCGCAGCAGCTGCTGGGGTGTCTGTACACCCCAACAGCTGTATATCTATCAGCCAGCGGGGCGTGCTGCTGCTGCTGCTGCAGCAGCAGCAGCTGCTGCTACTGCTGCCGCAGAGCGTCTCGGGTCTCTTTCGGGCGCTTCTGCGCCGTACAGACACCTGAGCTGCGCGCGTTGCCGCAGCAGCAGCAGCAGCAGCAGCAGAACTATTTAATCATTTAATTAATTAAATGATTAAATAATTAATTAATTAATTAATTAATTAATTAATTAATTTGTTTGTTTTTGTTTCGCTGCTGCAGGCGGGGCTGAGGGGCCTAATGGGCCCCGGCTACAGCCGGCTAAACGACGTGACGATTCAGCAAGCCTCTCAGGTGTTTAAAACTTCATTTTGATTTAACTTTTATGTTTCACTTTGTCCAAAGTGTTCTCAATTTGCTGCTGCTGCTGCTGCTGCTGCTGCTGCTGCTGCTGCTGCGCAGGGCCTCGCCATGTACCTTTTGGACCGCCACGGGAAGGAGGCTTGTGCAGCAAGAGGAATTGTCATTGGCAGGGACTGCAGACACAACTCCGAGCGGTCTCCAAACCCTAAACCCTAAACCCTAAACCCTAGACCCTAAACCCTAGGTTTCAGGCGCGGGCGGGAGGGCCTTTGGGGTGTGGCCTTTTGCCTTTCGTTTCGGCCTCGCTGCTAGCTAGCTAGCTAGCTAGCTAGCCACACATCTATCTATCTAGCTCGCGAGCTAGCTAGCTTGCTCACCACCACGCCACCCCCCTATGGCTCCAGCCAGCTAGCTAGCTAGCCACCTAGCTAGCTAGCTAGCTAGCTAGCTAGCCAGCTAGCCAGCTAGCCAGCTAGCTAGCTAGCTAGCTAGCCAGCTAGCCAGCTAGCTGCTGCGGGTTGTGCGTGCAGGTTCGCGAACTTGGCGGCCGCGACGTTTTTGAGTGTGGGGTTCAAAGTGCTGCTGTGTGGGGCCCCCGTGGCGACGCCGCTGGTGGCTTTTGCTGCGCTGCAGCAGCAAACTGTTGCTGCTGCTGCTGTTACTGCTTCCCACAACCCCAAGGCCTACAACGGCTTCAAAGTCTTCGACTGCAACGGCGCGCAGATAGTGCCCCCCGTCGACAGCCGCATCGCCCAGGCCATTCAGCAGCACCAAGTTTGCTGCTGCTGCTGCTGCTGCTGCTGCCGCTGCTGCTGCTGCTGCTGCTGCGGAGGGAGGGGAGGGGGGGGTGCTGTGCTGCTGCTGCGGCTGCTGCGAGGGGGTGCTGCGGCGGAGGGGGGCGCTGCTGCCGCTGCTGCTGCGAGGCACTCCCTGCTGCTGCTCCTGCTGCTGCTGCTGCTGCTGCTGCTGCTGCTGCTGAGGCGGGTCCGAGGTGGGAAGTTTGCTGCTGCTTGCAGGAACTGTGGCCTTCTGTGGAGAAGTTCTTTTGCCGCACTTCGGGGAAGTGCAGCGCAGCAGCAGCAAACTTGTCGGACCCCACAGCAGCACTGACGGAGGCCTACGTGGCAGCAATTGCTGCAGACCTGCGCGAGCCCGAGGGCTTCCGCGCAGCAGCACCAGCAGCAGCAGCACCAGCAGCAGCAGCAGCAGCAGCAAAAGAAGAAAAGAATAATTACAACTTCAAAATTGTCTATACTCCCCTCCATGGAGTTGGACTTCCTTTTGTCCAAAAGCTCTTTGAGCGCTGTGGCATGGCCGACGTGCTGCTGCCAGGTAACAATCAGCAGCAGCAGCAGCTGCTGCTGCTGCTGCTGCAGCAGCAGGTCCGGCAGCAGCAGCAGCAGCAATTATTTGTTTAATTCTTTTGGTCCTCATATGTTGGCTTGCTTCTTTATGAGTTGCTGCTTGCTGTTTCTTTGTTGCTTTTCATTTTTATTATTTATTATTATTTTATTTATTTATTTATTTATTTTTTATTCATTGATTATTTGTTTATCTTTTATTTTTTATTTATTAT